GAGACCGTCCTCGCCGACGCTCCCATCGCCGCCGTCGCCGCACCGACGCAGTCGCCGAGCGTCACGACGCCAAACGCCAAATTCGCCGCGCTCGAAGCCGAAGCCGCGGCGGCGGCGGCGGCCTCCGCGGCAGCCTCGAGCTCGATCTGCGCCTCGAGCGCGGCAAACTCCGCGGTCGACGGCGTGAGCTGCGACTGAAGCGTGGACGACACCGCGGGCGCGACCGTCGTCGTCGGCGGCGGCGGCGAAGGCGAGGGCCCGGGTTTCGCCGCGGAAGCCGCCGCCGCCGCCGCGGCTTCGGCTTCGAGCGCGGCGAATTCGGCGTTTGGCGTCGCGACGCTCGGCGACTGCGTCGGCGCGGCGACGGCGGCGATGGGAGCGTCGGCGAGGACGGTCTCTTCCACGGGCGCCGCCGGGACGGCCGCCGCCGGCTGCTCGGTCGCTAAGACCGCCGCGGGCGCGGGCGCGACGGTTGACGTTCCGTATTCCGCGCCGCCGCCGCCGTCCTCCGCCGCCGCCTCCTCCTCCTCCTCCTTCTTCTCCGTCGTCGCCGCGTCGACGTCTCCGACGCGCGCCTTCAACGCCGTCAGCGCGTTCGTCAGCTCCTCTCGCGGCGTCGCCTTACGCTTCACGCCCTGCTCGAGCCACGAGATCGCCATCGCGTGATCCCCCGCGTCCTCGGCCCTCTGGCTCCGCCGCGTCCAATACGCCGCTTGATTGGCGTTTGGTAGCGACCGCAGCGCGAATCCCGGGTGCGCGGAGACGACGCCCCCCGCGGCGTCGTCCGCGAACACGGAGACCGCGGCGAAGCGCCCCGGGATCGGCTGCTGCTTTCGTCCGGGGGTGTGGTGCGGCGCGGCGCTGGCGCCGAACGCCGTCAGACGCGCGGCGCCGCCGCCCATGCCGGTCGTCCCTCCCGCGCGCGTCGGCGTCTTCGGTCGCGTCGGCGTCTTCGGCTTGAGATCCACCCGCGTCGGCGCGCGCGCGAAGCGCGACGGCCCGTCCGCGATCGTCGGCGCCTCGGGTTTCCCCGGCGTGGTGGGGCGAGTCGCGTTCGCGATGGAGACGCGTCGCGACGCGCCGGGGGTGACGCCGGGCGTCTTCGCGCCCCCGCCCGGGGTCTTGACGTTGACGCGCGAGGGGGAGCCCATGCCTCCCATCGTCGTCCGACGCGTCTCCTCGAACGTCCCGCCGCCGCGGTAGTAGACCCCGAACGCGCTCTTCGGCGTTTTCGGCGCGTCACCGCGGCCGCCCGGCGTTTTCGAGCGCGATGGCGTCTTGAGGATCGACTTCCCCGGCGTCGTCGCCGTCGCTAGGTTGGCGGCGTTCGTCGTCGTCGCGCGCAGCGACGGTATCGCCGTCGTCGCCGCGTTCTCGTCGATCTCGGGTTCTTCGTCGTCCGCGCTCGCCTCCGCCGCCGCGCGAGGCGGGGAATCCCATCGAACGTCGCTGTGTCGTCGCGCGCGCGCGGGGTCGAACACCCCCGTCGCGAACGGTTGCGTCATGCTGCGTGTCGCGGGCGGGCGGTGAGGCCGTGTGCGCGCGCGTGTGCGCGGCGGTAACGTTCGAGCGTTTGTATTGTTGGTTCCCCCGAGAGCGCGAAGAGCGAGATCCCCAAAGTTTCGACCGACCGCAAAATTAACGTTTCGTCCCCGGCCCGGTGCCATTTTTAGAGTCGAGCGTCGACGAACGACGACGCGCGGCACTCGGCGCGGCACGCGCGCGCGAAGTCTATCGTCGCCGTCGTCGTCGCAGGACGCGCCAACGCGCGGACGGGCATCGCGCGAGGAGAGAGAGGCGAGAAGGAGCGCGCGGACGGCACTGCGTCGCGCGAGGGAGAAGGGGGTGATCGACGCTCGCGCTCGAATTAGGGCACGCGAGAGGAGGGAACGAGCGAGCGACGGTCGCGAGGAGCATGGCGGACAAGAAAGCCCCCGAGGAGACGGAGGAGAAGACGCAGGCGAAAGAGCACGACGTCTCGATCGTGCTGTCGTACATGGACGACGAGCACGAGAAGGCCGCGATCGAGGTCCGCGAGATGCCCCCGCCCCCCCAGCCCCGGTCGACGAGAGCGCTTCTGGTTTTTCGTTTTTGACTTTGATTTGGATTTTGATTCGACGTCTTCGCCGCCGCCGCCCGCGTCCCCGCTGACATGCCATCCTCCCCCCCCCACGTCACGTCGCGTCGCGTCGCGTGCCCACCCTAACCTCCCCACCCCAGGTCGCGTGCGCGGCGTTCGATAAGTTCACGCAGTACAAAGACGTCGCGCAGTGTATTAAAAAAGAGTACGACGCGAGATATCCGAGCACGGGCAAGGCGACGGACGGCGTGTACCACGCCGTCGTGGGGAAGCACTTCGGCGCGTCGTTCTCGCACGAGACGAACAGCTACGTGCACCTGAAAGTGGACCTGAACAACGTCGTCGTTTTTAAGAGTAAGGACTCGCCGTTCGACATCGATCAACCGTGACGAGCGAGCGATTTTGGTCGGCGGGGGCGGGGGCGGAAGGGCGGGTTGAAAAAAAGTCAAGTCGCGTGAAAGGGCACCTGACTAAATAGCTATGCAAAAAAACATATTATTGTTGGTTTTCTATGACTAAATACACATAGGGCCCTAGGACTTTTCGCCATTTTTCGTGAAGGAATCTTTCTAGAAGCATCCTGTTAGCCTGTCTGGTACAACAGTGTAGAAAGAATTCCCGCACGACAACCGCAAGATCCGCTAGGTTTACCCGCTTTAGAAAGAACGGCATCGTCGCGCGCGCGCGGCCGCCATGTGGCGCAAGCACTCGCGCACCCCGATGGACGCGGACGGGTACAACTGGCGCAAGTATGGCTGCCGCGTCAACGTCGCGTTCGACGCGCGGACGACGTACTTCAAGTGCGCGACCCCGGGGTGCGGCGCGAAGAAAAGAATGGTCACGTCGCTTCACACATGTCGCACCACGGGCGCGATCATGGACGGAGAGACGGTCCACGTGCACGACGGCAATCACACGCACGCCCCGCACGCCCCGCACGCGCGCGCCGGGCCCAACCCGCGCATTTTGCGCCGCGTCGTCGTCGACGACGAGGCGGCGACGGGATGGGCGGACGTCGCCGCGGCGATGTCCGGGCGCCTGTCCCCCGACACCCCGTCCGGGGCGGACTCGCCGAAGCGCGTCGCCGGCGGCGGCAGCGACGGCGGCAGCGACGGCGGCGCCGCGGCGCCGCCGACGGCGCCGCGCGCGCGCGAACGACGCGGAGGCGGCGGCGGCGTCGCGGCGGCGGCGACGACGACGACGAGAAGAGGCGACGGCGGCGACGCCGCCGCGGATCTGGCGAACGACGACGCGTCGCGACGACGCGCCGTGCGGCACCTCCGCGAGCACACCGCGCGGCTCGCGAGCGCGGGGGACGCGCCGCAGCCCTCCGCGACGGCGCAAGCGTCGCTGATGCTCGCGGCGTCGTGCGCGGAGGCGGTCGCGTGCGCGTTCGGGGTGGCGAGGGCGAGCGAGTTGCGCGCGGCGGCGTTCGCGCGCGTCGCGCCGCCGATCGACATCGCCAAGGCGTTGGAAGCCGCGGGCCGGAGGATCGCGGAGCTGGAGCAACGGCTGCGGATGTACGAGGGCGGCGGCGGCGTAGGCGGCGCGAGCGCGATGTACGACGGGTGGACGAACGCGTTGACGTTGGGGGGGATGGAGGTGGTCCCGAGGCTGCCGGCGACGGCGCCGCGCGATCCGAGCGCGCCGCCGCCGCCGCCGCCGTCGTCGCGGGCGGCGTTCCCGACCGAGTTCTTCGCGGCGCTCGACAAAGAGAGGAAGCGCGTGGACCGTTTGAACGAGGCGGAGGAGATCGCCGTCGCGGGGGGGCTGGAGAGGTTGAGAGGGAGAGGGAGGAAGCCGACGCCGACGCCGACGCCGACGCCGCCGAAGCCGACGACGACGCCGACGCGACCGAGGAGCGTCCGCGGCCGGGGGAAACCGCCGAGGGAAAAGTCCTTAAGGAACGGCGATCACCACGCGAACGCGGTCGTATGGGAACCAGTGTATAGAACGCGCCAGGAAGTCCACCACGCCGATGATAACGGCGGCGGGAACGTCGCGAACGCGCTCGAGGCGGCGATGCAACGCAAAGCGACGCAAGCGGCGGCGGCGGCGATGGCGGCGGGGATCATCTCCGCGGAGGTGGCGAAGACGCCGACGCCGACGCCGCCACCGCCGCCGCCGACGACGACGACGAACCTCGCCCTTACCCCGGAGCCGGGGCGGACCGGCGGTCCCTTCGTCGTCGTCCCGAAGGCTGACGTCGGGACCAAACGACGGTACTCGTGGGAGATGGACGACGGCGATGACGGCGACACCGGGGAGGACGGCGCGGGCGCGAAGCGAGGGAACGCGCCGCGGCTCGGCGTCGCCGCCGTAGTGAGTTGAGCGTTCGTCGCCGCGGGTAGTACGGAAGTACTTTCGTACGACGTACGCGTGAGGGTATTCATTCATTCGCGACGCCGCGCCGTCCGTCGTTCGTCGTTCCCGTCGTCGATCGCGATGCGTTATTCGTCGTTAGTCGTTCGTCCTTCGTTCGTTCACGCGCACGCGTTCGGCGCGGCAGGCGTGAGCAGCGCCCTCGCCTGCGTCTGAAGCCGCCGCAACGCGTCGAGCTTCCCGGGCTCGAGCGCCGCCGCCGCGCCGTCGCCGTCGCTGTCGCCCGCGCACAACAGCATCGCTCTCTGCGCGACGGTGGCCACCCGTCGCGCGCGCTCCACCCCCCACGGGTCCGGGTCTTCTGTGTTTGTGGTTGTAACTCTCGATCCGCCGCCGTTACCGTCGCGCGCGTCCACCTCCCGCGCGATGGCCCACGCGGCGTCCATCATCGCGTTCGGAAATCCCATCGTCGCCGCGAGCCGCAACCCGTAGTGATCGACGACGCACTCGCCGTCCACGAGCTTGTATCGGAAATCGAGCTCCCCGCGGCCGTGCACGGCGTCGTATCCGCGTCCGTCGCGGCCGTATCCGCGTCCGCCGCCGCCGCCGACGACGCCGCCGCCGCCGCCGACGACGCGGACGCTCAGGCTCGACACTCTCACTCCCGGGTACATCGTCGCGAGACCGCGCAATCGATCCGCGTGCGTCGCGAAGACGCACTTCAAGTCCATCCTCAACAGCGCCTCCGCGCACGCCCACGCGACGCGCTCGCCGTCGCCCGAGCTCGTCGACCGCCCGAGCTCGTCGACGAGGACGAGCGAATCTCTCGTCGCGTTCGCGAGGATGTGCTGCATCTCGCGCATCTCCACCATGAAGGAGCTCGCGTCCGTCTCGAGCGAATCGCCGGTGCCGACGCGCGCGTAGATGGCGTCGATCGGGGGACAGCTGAAGAACGAGGCGGGGACGTAACACCCCGCGTGCGCGAGGACGACGAGCGTCGCGACCTGTCGCGCGTAGGTGGATTTGCCGGACATGTTCGGACCGGTCACGAGCGAGAACGGGAACGCGTCGGAGAGAAACGTGGAATTCGGGACGAAGAGCCCGCCGCCGCCGCCGCCGCCGCCGCCGCCGCAGACGCCGCCTTCCATCAGCGGATGCCGCCCCTCCTCGATCGCGAGCGGGCCGTTGGACGTGAACGCCGGCCGCGTCCACGCCCCGCGCGCGTTCATGACCTTCGCGGCGAACGCGAGGAGGACGTCGAGTAACGACAGCGCGGCCGACAGCGCCCCGAGCGCGGGGAAATTATCCCTCACGGAACGCACGAGCTCGTCGACGACGCCGGCGCTGCGCGCGAACGCGTCGTCCATCGCTTCCTTGTGACGCGCGTTCAGGCGCTCCAGCGTGGACGTCGTGCACTTCACGCTCGGCGGCGTCGCGTTCAAGTACGCGTCGCCGCCGCCGCGCGCGTCTCGGCGCGTCTCGACGCGGCCGTCCACGCGCTGGAGGCTGTGGAGGACGCCGCCGCCGCTGCCGCGCGTCGCGCACGCGGTCATCACGCCAAACTCCACCGCGGAGACGCTCAGCTGGAACCCCCTCGCGTCCGAGTACGTCAACCGTAAGCTCTCCGCGCCCGCGAGCTCGCGCGTCGTGCGAAGCAGCTCGTGCGCCGCCTCCGTCGTCTCGCAAAACGACCGCCGGGCGAGGTCCAAAAACGCATCCACGCCTCCCTTGACGGCGAACACCTGGCGCGTCCGCTGCGCGAAGGTGGACCGGCCTTCGACGACGTCCGGCTCGAAGACGTCGTCCACGCGCGTCAGGAACGATTGGAAGAAGTCCTTCCCGCACGTGGAGCCAATCTCGCGAAGCAGCGGGGACGCGCACGCGCGAAGGGCGTCGCCGACGCCCGGGACGACGCGTAACGTCGCGCGCACGCCGAGGATGGTTTTAATCTTCGCCGCGACCTTCGCCGGGTTAGGCGGCGGCGGCGGCGGCGGCGCGGTAACGGTCACGCCGCCGCCGTTACCTACCCCTCCCCCTCCCGAACCACCCGGCGCGAACTGCGCGATGACCTTGTCCACGTCCGCGGCGCCCGGCGTCGACCGCAGCGCCGCCCGCAACTCCGTCGCGAGCCCCCCGGCTGAGGGTCGTTCCGTACGATGCGACGTCGGGGTGGAGTTCAAAGGCGTCAGTCGAAGTTGAAAGGCATCCTGTGCGGGGATTGAAAGCGAGGGACCCTGGGCGGAGAGTAACGCAGGCAAAAGTCCTTAAGGATCGGCGTTCACCACGCGGACGGGGCCGTATGGGAACCAGTGTACGGTAGAACGCGCCCGAGAGCAGCTCCGACAGCGCGTCCAACCGCGCGTCGATCGTCGCGTGGTCCCTCAGCGGCTGCAGCAGCGACGCCTTCAGAAGCCTCGCGCCGGACCTCGTGACGCACGTGTTCAAGAGCCCGAACAGCGACCGCGGCGCGACGGTCGCCGCGAGCGCGACGTTCCCGCTGCCGGCGCCGCCCGTTCTCGCCGCCGCGCTCGACGCCTTCGGGTCGTTCCAAGCGACGTCGGGGTGGAGTTCAAAGGCGTCAGAAGCGGAGTTGAAAGGCATCGAGGTGTGTCGGGATTGAAAGCGCGGGATGGGCGGAGAGAATCGCCGGGAGATAAAGTCCTTAAGGATCGGCGTTCACCACGCGAACGCGGTCGTATGGGGACCAGTGTACAGAACGCGCCTTGGCGTTGGACGGTTCCCGCGCCGCCTCTCCGCGCGCGCCGATCGGCGCGGCGATCTCCAGGCACCGCGCCGTCGCCGGGTCGATCGATATGAAGTGCTCCGAGCGCGCGCACGTCACGGTGACGGTTCCCAGGAGCGCGTCGAAGCCCGGGGAGAGGCGGAGGCGGTCGACCGCGGCGGCGGCGGCGGCGGCGGCGGGCGCGGCGCCGCCGGCGTCGACGAACGCGAGAACCGCGGCGGCGGCGGCGAAGGCGAGGTACACGTCGCGCGGGTTCGCCGCGAGCCGCGAGCCGACGCGCGCGCATCGCGTCACGAGCTCCGCGCCGAGGGTGTCGTCTGCGGCGGAGGCGGGAGGGGTGAGGAGGGAGGGGTGAGGCGGGAGGAGGAAGGAAGAGGCGGGACGACGGGAAGAAGAGAGCGCGCTGCCGTGGCCTCGACGACGCGGGTTCTCCGTCCGTCCGTCGCCTCGCCGGCGTCGCGCGCACCGAAGAGGCGCCTGGAGAGCTCCACGATCGCGACGTCCCTCGCGCGCGCGAACCTCCGAACGGCGCGGTTGATGCCCATCCCGCCGTCGCCGCCGCCCGCGCCGCCGACGACGAGGACGACGCCCGGGCGCGAGGACGCGAGCTCGCAGAGCGTCGCGCCGTACGACGCGCCGCCCTCGACGTGCTGCTCCAAGACGAGCGCGCCGCCGCCGCCGTCTTCTCGGTCGAACAGCGCTATCCCGACCTCGTGCGCGCGGTTCTCGATCACGGCGCACACGACGGCGACGGGCGGCGCGCTCGCGGGAGGCGCGGGCGGCGGGCGGGAGGCGGCGTCGCGGTCGCGGTCGCGTTCGAACCGCGACGCGTTCGCGCGTCGACGCGGGAGGAAGCGCCCCTCCTCCTCCTCCGCCTTTTCCGCGCCGTCGATCTCGCGATCGTCCTCGCGCGCGTGCGACGCCATGAGCGCGGCGACCCTTCGCACGTCGAACGACGACGCGGGCGGCATGGCGGTGGGCGGGGCGCGCGCGGGGGGAGAGGAGCGCGAGGGCGCGAACGTGATAGTGTCCGTATTAAAAAGAATAGACTAGCGGCTTATGCGTACAGCTGTGAAAGAATCGTATCGTGCTCGTATGAGCATTTACCCTCAAGAGGGCGCGACGCTCAGAAGAGCGCGGCGCCGTTGGTGAACTTCTCCGCGAAGAGGAGCGCGACGAGGCCGATCATCGCGCCGCGGCCGTTCGTCATCTCCGACTCCGCCTTGAACATGAAGAAGTCCTTCGGCGCCTTCTCGAGGCCGGACTCCTCGTTCCCGCGGAGCACCGGCGCGAGCGACGCCGCGAGCGTCGCGAGGACGACGACGGGGACGAGGAACGCGCCGCCGGCGGGCCCGGTGACCGTGTCCACCACGCCGTCCGCGAGCGTGAACGTGCGCGTGTTGAACACCTGCCTCGCGAGGGACTGGTCGTTCGTGATCTCCGCGGAGAGCGCGACCATCCAGCCGATCATCGCGGCGCGGCCGTTGATGATCTCGATGGCGCGCGGCTCCTTGAACGCGACCATGGCGTCCGTGAACATGGACATGTCGTCGCCGAGCGGCGCAGCCTCCGCGATGGAGCCGTCCGCGGGGTCGATCGCCGCCTTGAACGCGGCCGGGGCCTCGACGGCCGCGGCCGCCGCGGGCGCCGCGGGGGTCTGGATCTCGCACCGCTCGCCGTTGAGCTGGTCCTCGGTGAAGACGGTCACGTTCGGCATGGCGATGTCCTCGGACGGGCCCTCCGGGGTGCTCGCGTCCGCGCGGACGACGGTCGCGCGGCGCGCGTTGCGGGCGACGCGCGTCGCGGAGAGGCCCGCGACGGCGGAGACCTTGACGGTGGAGGCGGAGAGGGCGAACATCGTGATGTGGTGGAGGTGGTGGGCGTGCGTGTGCGTGCGCGTGAGAGTGGCGGCACTTCGAGGCGCAGACGCGTCGAAAAAGAAAAAGGTGACATTTGCGTGGCCTCGAAACGCCGGAAAAAACAAGCGACGCAGCGCGATTTCTTACTGTTTGCCCAAACCAACAGTACGGTTTTCGTAGTAGTTTTCATGCTGCGCGCAGAGACTGCCACGTCAACCTTACTCACTCGCGGGCGCTGTGCGCCTCGCGTTCCGCG